GCTGAATGGCAGCACAGCCTTCTGGGGTATCTACCACTCCTCCCAGTTTGGTGTCATCAGCAAACTTGCTGAGGGTACATTCTAACTCTTCATCCAGGTCATTGATGAAGAAGTTGAACAAGACTGGGCCCAGTACTGACCCCTGGGGGACACCACTAGTTACCAGCCTCCAACGAGACTCGGAGCCGCTGATGACAACTCTCTGAGTTCTGCCATTCAGCCAGTTCTCAATCCATCCTTAACATCACCCTCCGCAGTCTTATAGTGATCTTCAGCCAAATCACCTGCAGTTTTTAGAATTAACTGTTTCTCAGTTTCGGTTACATATTCTAATAGTAGTTGTATATCATTCCAATCTGGATTATGTTGTCTCATTATGAATTTCAAGTGTTTAGCGACACCTACTGGGTCAACCCGATATTCCCAGGCTACCTTTTTCCAAGCATCTAAATCGGTAGTGGAAAAAGGCATTTTGATTAGCATAGTTCCACCATCAGGTCGTACCATCTCTCAGAGAGGTGCTTGTAAGGCCGTTGTAGTGGATTTCTTCCTAGTCTGGGAAGATGCAGGGCTGTCTGGAGGAGTAGGGATTTCATCCGAGCTCACATCCTGTTCCTGTGGTTGAGGGGGAGGCTTACACAAGTCAGTTAGATCTTGTTCTGGCGCCTGGTGAATTTTGTTAGCTTTAGTACATCTTTGCCCAATGCTACATGCCGAACAACACCGCTTCAGTTTACTCTGAGTTCTTTATTATTTTCTCACTCAAGTGCGAGTACCATGGAGTCCTGTGGTGGTATCATTCCGCAGTCCCTTTGCCACTCCGGATGGTTTCAGAGGGTGAAGAACATATCTGCATATGGACCTCATCCCATTTTCCTTCTCTCCTCAAAAACAGCATTAGCTGCAAAAGGGTATTATAGTCTATTGACCCGTTTAATGGCCACTTGGCCCCATCTTCCAATTTATATAGAGGCCACCATTGATTGCAATATTTGATAAGGGTCCTTTTACTCTCTATGCCTCCAGTCCCAACAATGTCTGTGAGCAAGTACACAGCCTAAAGGACTCTTTTTCAAAATTCCTCTCTGAGTGTTACTCATTTCGTGACTTATTGCCCCTTTAACTCGCCTTTTGCTATTCTTTTAATAAGTTTCCACGCGAATTGTTTCTTACAATTCGTTACAGTTTCCTCCCAATCTTTCTCCCACACATCCCAAATTTCCAGAATCAAATTTTCCCTTCCGCACATCAGCTTCACTACCTCAATTTCTTGGTGAGTTCTTTCCCAACTATAAAACCTTGGGGTACGGGGAAGGCACTTAGGACACTAGGCTCCTCACCTACTAGATACACAGCACCACTTTTTATCACAAGATTTACACTTCAACAGGACCGAAGTTTGGGGCCAGTTCTTATATAATCTAGGAGCTAGCCTATGTGTGAAGACGGGAATTATTTCTGCTTGCCCACGAACCCCAGGATTTATAAGGATTTCTGGAGGTTGTTCCCAATCTAAGGCCACCTTCCACCCTGCGGGAGTCACATACGCCCTTTTCAAATAAAATCTTTCTTCTCCCCTTTGTATCCAATCCTCGCCTTCATTTAAATACTCCCAAGGTTCGAGCCCAAACCACCTAAGGAGTGATCTCCTTTGCTCTGCCAGTTTAATAATTAGCCAGTTCCTGTTCCCTGTCACTTAGGAGAGGGGTTAGGCACGATGGCAGCCCAATTTGCATGTTAAAAGATTTACAAGCTTTATAATCATTCCAGGTGCTTTGTCCGTCTCTGGCCGTGCTCCTCGCGGAGTTACGGAACCGCAGATCAGGACTCCCACTCACTTCACAGCAATGCTGTATCTCAACCACACATAGACACGCACAAAGACAAAACTTCTAGCATAAAATCCCCGGGCATTCAAATTATAACATTATCACTTCAGTTAACATTCATACAAAAACCACCCGAACGCAGTTACAGTTACCATTTGTACAAAAACCATCCGAACGCAATTTCACGGAGGTCCGCTTACCCTTCTCCTGCTTCTTCTATACCAAACATTAGCAGGTCCATCCTGGCTCCTGACACTGGGATACAGCGGTAACCTCGGGTTTGCTCGATCTACCTTCAAGATCGCTAGCGGCCGCTCTATCGGTCAGCAAACCCCCCTTCCTTACCAGGGCACCCTTTCCCCACGCGGAATATGCTGCACGCCAGATGTCTCAGTGCGATTTACCAGCAGTCCTGGCCAAGCGTACGACTTACAGGCCCTTCCCTACAAAACATACTGTTCATATCCACGGCTTCCGGAGGTTGTTGTTTGCTCCCCGGGTGAGCGGCTGGCAGCGGGGGGAAAGTGCCCGGGGCGCGCCGAGGAGCATCGGCTCCGCAGTCGCTCCCACAGTCCAGCAGAGAATTCCTGGCTGGCTCGCCAAAGCTGATGTGCAGAAAACAGACTCCACAATCTGTAAGATTGTAAAGTAGGTATGTTTATTCGGCGCCGGGTGGCACGGGGGGTAGTCCCACCAAAGTCGTGTGCGCCGAGCAGCAACTTGGCTCTTCAACTTATACAATCAAGTATTACATATGCGTTAGATTTACCAATATGCCTACACATAAGCATAACCTATCCCCATTTCATATTAAAATCAGTGACCTGAAAAGGTCCCTTTCCATCCTAAATTCTTCTGCGATTCAGTAGGTGAGCTACTCAGCAGAGCCCCAGTTTGGGTTGAGAATCAAGCCCTGACATCCCGAACACAGCGCAGGCGCTTTGCTCTTTGTTTTTACCTGAACAACATCTCCTGTGCTTGGGTCAGAATCTCCCAGCAGAGCACTTGGCACCACAGGCACCTTCTGCCACCTTTCTTGCTCTGCTGCTCTTTTCTCCTCTGCCTGAGAGAGAAGTTGCCTGTGGTGTGAAAGGCGTCTGTGTGCTGTGTTGCATATGTTGAAAGCTGAGGTGGGAGAAGCACAACTCCTGTTCTGATCCAGGAACTTGCGGTGTGTGCTTGTTCCCAGGGCAGCAGTTCTTGAAATGTTGCTGATGAAATGTTTCCTGGATGGGATGTTAGTCTGTGGCCCCAAAGCTGTTAACCCACAGTGCTTGACGGTTCAGCTTTCAGCTGAAAGTTACGTATAGAGCTGTTTCCCCTGCATATATGGGGCTGTCTTTGTGGAGTGTGGTTTACTGGATCAGCAAGGTGGGGTCTTTGCTACAGGTCTTACACAGGGTGTAGGACAAGGACAGGGCGAGGCTTAACAAGAACGTGAGGGCTGTGGTAGGTACAGCATTGCAAGGGAAAAGGCCCTGGAAACGTAGAGAGGAGAGTGGAGGAAGAGGGGTGGCCAGGACAAGGACAGAGAAAAGTGGTGCATCCAGTGATCAGGCAGCATGAAGGGGAGGCAGGACATTTGCTGTGGGCATCCCCAGAGCTCAAAATGAGGGGGGAACCAAAACTGTAGATGCAGATGGAAGGCTCAAAGCAAGGAGAAGCAGATGGGTTTGCTGTGACAGAGTGGTCTTGCTTAATCCTAGAAAGCACTTTTACTGCCTCTCAGTTTGACAAGCAAGTCAGCATTGAAGGAGTTGGAAAATCACAGGGATGCTGCTTGTGGGCAGCAGTTGTTGAGCGACCTCCTTGCTGCTTCTCCCGTTCCAAGGTGTGAGGATCTGGCAGAAGCGAACACTCTTCTGCAGGAGCACCTCCATCAAGCGAGTGTGGTCAACTCAGCCCTCCAAGAAGATGTTGGGAATCTGGTGTCAGATTGGATGAGGGCCCAGGAGGAGCTGGAACTGAAGAAAAGTGAATGGCACACTGACCGTGAGGTAAGGACAGGCTACGGCAGCGTCAGACGCACTGACCGTGAGGTAAGGACAGGCTACGGCAGTGATGCTAGAGTGGAGTGGGAATGCATTGTATTTCTGGCATAGAGGGCTTGCCGTGTGCGAGTTGTGGCTCTGTTGAGGATGTGTCGGTGTTGAGTAGCAGCAGAGAGGGGTGTGAGATGGAGGAGTGTCAGCAAATCGTGGTGAGGGAAGATGCCTACCTGCTGTGACCGTGCTGCTCAGTGTTAAAGGCGAGTGCTTGCTGTTGCTGGGCACTGCAGGGCAGTCACACATGAACGCTCGTCTTTTTAAGCGCTGCTAAATCTGTGTCCACACCAGAGAGGTCTGTGTGTTTTCCTATTCAGAGTAGCCAACAGGAGAACAAGACAGGCCTCCCTCACCAACAGCCTGTTGCAAGGAAATCTGACGCTGATCTTGGAGGGGCTTGCTTTTTGTCTTCCTCCACCGAGAGTGCAGGACACCTCTGCTAGGCGAGATGGTGGATCAGGATCAGTTTGCTTTGATGATAGCCACTCCTGCAGGAGAAGCGTGGATGTCCCCTGCTTTGAAGTCAGGTGGCAGGTCTGCAGACGGTGCTTCTGTGGGGCCTGTTCTGTCCTTGGTGCCCCTGGGCAGTTGTTGAAGGAGACCTGGTGATGGTGGTTGCGCTCTTTCCTATCTTGTACAGCGACAGCAAAGGCTAAATTGGCATTTTTTTTTGTCTTTGCATGTTTAGCTTCATGACAGCTACGTCAGGGGTGAACATAACTGTTTGCTCAGCCTCTGGCATCAGGTGCTAGCCTTGCGCTGTCATTGCCTGGAAATGAAGACTGCCACTGACCGGTGAGTAGAAGTGAAGGCTGGATCTCTTGCAGAAAAAAATGTAGCTTCCCTTCCCACCCGCTTTTTGAGCCTTGGTGTTATGGTCGTTGTGGCTAAAAATCCAATTTCTCCTTCGGTAGTCTGAAGCAATGCCATTAAGCATGCTTTAGGCTATTTTCAGAATCCTTTTGTTTGATGCTGGTTTCACATAAACCTGAGGGGCTCAGTCTGTGAGCGGTGCAGAGGCCCTGAACAGATGAACTTGACTATGGTGATCTTTGGGCACATTAACACAGACACAGGCGTACGTGCACACATTGGAAGAGACTCACTAAGGCTATGCATGCTGTGTGTGGAGCGGGCCCTTTTGTAGAGTGATTAAGATCTGCCTCAAATGTCACTGGGTTTCTCTCCCCACAGCTCTTGATGGAAATATCATTCATGAATATACATATATGTTGTGGGTTTGCCTCAATTTGCAGTAAAGAACCTACACAGTTACTCTCTCACTTCTCCTCCCTCCCTGGTGGGATGGGAAAAAATTTGGGTTGGGTTGGAATGAGAACGGTTTAACAGAATGGCAAATGGAGGAGAAAACAGCAATCAACAATACTGATAAAAAGCATGTACGACATGCAGTGTTCTCACCACCCAGTGCTCAGCTCACTCCTGAGTAGCAAAAGCCCCTCCTTGAGCCAGCTCCCCACTTAAATACTGCGCATGACATCGCATTGTATAGAATACCCCATTTGGTTGGCTGTTTGGGTCAGTCCAGCCAGCTCCTTGTGAAAACTAACTCTATCCCAGCTGAAGCCAGGACTATATATATATGTATATGTATATATTTTTTTTCCCTTCTCATTTCCAGCTTACATTTATTCTGGTCAGTTTGCATCTGCTTATTCCCCTACCAACATGGCTGAGAGAAAGAATAGCTTCTCTACCCTGTTGCTGCATTTATCCAATGTATCTTGCTTAGTTTGATACCTCCTTTTTGTGATTGTTTTCTTGTTCTTGGGCTCTCTGAGGTTCCTTTCTCACAGCTGCCTTCTATACAATGAAAAAGAGTGTGGCCATAAAAGTACCTTCTTCTAGTGTCAACTTCAAACTCTGGGTTACTGTCAACCATTTGCCTTCTTTGATTCTGAGCATTCCTAAATGTGTAGAGTGTGCCTGACCTCCTGGTTAATTCTTGAAGCCTTCTGGCTGTTGCATACAATTCTTCTCGTCTCAGAGGAGAACATAGACTCATTCCTCAGCCATCAAAGAGACCCACTGCTCAGCTATCGCGATGTGTCCCGATCCCAAAGTGTCAGACGAATGGTCATCCCCAGTGAAGATGTCACCTTTCCTGCCAGCTTTTACCATTGCACAATTACGTGCTTCAAAAGTGAATCAGCTGATAAAGATGATGATGTGAACATTAGCGCGTTCTTTATTATTCTGCAGAGATTTGTCCGAGCCGAAGGCAGAGCAAATGAGGCTTTCTGGATCTCTGCTTGTAAGCTACTCCCGCCTAAACTCTGGCACACAGCTCTGGGAGTCCGTCACTGCACGTAGACCTGTCTCGAATGATGAGGCACAGCCACAAGTGGAGCAGGACATAAGCCCGAAGACTTGGGAAATGATGTGCTTACAAGTCATGGGGGACCTGGAGAAGACAGAGTTTCTGCACAGGTAAATGTGCTTTAGATTTTGCTATTACCAACATTCTCTTTTGTGGGTGCTTCTTGGATTCCTAGATCAGCTGTGTCCACATGTAAAACACACCCGTTCTCCACAGCCTTGTTTCTGTCCCTAGTCAAACTATTGCCTTCAACAGAATGAGTAGAAAGAACCATCTGACTGGCAGAAGCTCTTCTGAGTAAGACAAGACTGGAAAAGAGATTGCATATTACAGAGTTTTTGTGGTTATCTGATTCTTGG